AGCTATTTTTGAGTTGCAAATAAATGGGGTTAGCAGGGAATAAAGAGTTGGTTTTCATTTTTAAAACTTAATGAAACGCTTTGTCCTAGATGTACGCTGCCTAAGTTGAGGGGTGGGAGGAAATTTCCTGAGTGTTTAATAAAAGGGGTGGATGGAATAACGATTTCCGACTGAATATTTTTTTTCGTTTTTTGGACAGTTTTAGTTGTTTTTTTTTTTCTTTTTGTTTTTAGTTTTTTTTCTTTTTGTTTTTAATTTTTTTTCTTTTTGTTTTTAATTTTTTTTCTTTTTGTTTTTAGTTTTTTTTTTCTTTTTGTTTTTAGTTTTTTTTTCTTTTTGTTTTTAGTTTTTTTTTTTTCTATTTGAAAGCAAAACAGTTATTTATTAAATAAGGCGTATTTTTGACATGTGAACGTTGCCAGACAAGAAACTTGTAAGTGCAGCCGGACGCCTTCCACACGTATTAAGAAAAAAAGTAAATATTTGCAAATAACATGTGCTAAGTACATCGTTTTCCAACTTCAATAAATAGAAGTAATTAGAAAGCTCAATAAATACTTTTAACAAATTGGGCACTTCAACATAGTGTAATGGTTATCAAACTTGTCTCGCTAGATCAATTACAACTGAGTAGCGAGAACAGTCTTCACTGAGTGCTCCATACTTTACTCCTTGTACCATATCTAAGCTACGTTTAGTAAATTGCAACTTTTAACAAGTTAGCTTCGTAGAGGATTAGATTTAAGTTGTTCAGAAATTAACACCGCAATTTAAAAAAAAAAAAAATTGGGGGCGTGTTGAAATCCTCACAGTATTTAGTATTGTTGAAGTTGTCGCTAACATTTTTGTCGAGATTAAAAACTCTACGTTTCGTTCAATTTCTCAAACCATTCCATGAAATTTGAATAGGCTGCGTGTTAATAATTAGTTTAATTTTATAAGAGTTCATGCAAACAATATTTTTAAGAAAATTTCTTTTTTTCCTTTTTAACAGCGAATAATGAATTTTAAGATTTCTTACTCTAGAGCATGCAACACACAACTGGCCATGCGTAAATATTTCTTTCTGGAGCCAAATTCCAACTTTTTGAAACGTTTGGTCTTGTGATTAAAGAAAAGATATGTAAAAAAACAATACTGCATTTTTATTAAATACGTATTTATTTTAATCATTAAATTAGTGGCAATATTTTGTATGTTAAATAATAAAACTTAATTCCCCCCAACGACAAAAAATAATTGTACTAAGCCACGCATCCTAGTAAAACAAACTATACTTTGTACCAAATAACTGTTTGCACTTCTCTCCAAAATTTGTTGTTTTTTTTATCTGTCAATGTATGGCTAATTTAGAGACAAAATCTTCCAATGAAACCAATGTTTTTAGTTCAAAGAATCCGAGATTTGGAACCAAAAGAATTGGTTTAACCTCTCTCTTCAACATTTCGTTTTCGTCACAAATTTTTGTTTTCGTGATCTGATTAAATGAAGACTTTAATGGTGATTTTTCTCAGCTTAGATGTGGCACAAGGCCGAAACTATGGGGCACCCAGTGAGGATCGAAATCGTTATTCAGTCGTAATTGATCTAGCGAGACAAACTTGCCAACCATTACACCACGTCGAAGAGCTCGATGGAAACTAATATATGAGTATATGCGGGTAGCGGAGTGGTTATCAGCACCTAAAGTGGAACCTCTATGCTGAAATCCCAACAGAGGTTGTTGCGTTCACTTTCGTCCAAATACCTTTGAGTCTATTTATTCTCTTATGCGATAAACAGCAGAGTAAAACTGAGCTCTCTAGCTTTGGTTGGTAACCAGTCTAGGAGAAGAAAAACTTAATTCAAAACCGATTGAGCGTGATACTGGCGCTCAATCTTATAAAAAGTCTATGGAAACTAAAAGCGCACCACTTCGCGTGGTGAGGCTGTGGTCATATACCCCACATGTCGTGAGAGGGATTCGTCTGTCACTCGCCCAAATTTCAAAGCCGTTTCCATTAAAGCTGAACGAGAAAGGATGCGAGGAAAATTCTTTACTGAAGGATTTCATCTCTTGAGTTAATGTACTTTCGTTTTGTTGACCAAATCAAATCATCTTTTGTGCAAATATTTATTTGTTCTTCACAATAAAATTCAACTGCCATAGTCCTGATTTATTCTTGGAGCTCGAAATAATTGCGGTATATATTTCGATATAACTCATAGGATATGGTCAGGATTAATCACTGATACGTAAGGCATCTCCAAATGAAACCGCTGAAGGAGATGGACAATTGCTGTAACTGCCTTCACACAGGGCCGGTGCAAGTGTCTCATAAACACCCCCACATCCGAATCTATGATATATTCATATATATTCATATAAAATACAATTTTTTTTGTAACCTTACCTATGTACAATAATGGATCATATGCAATATAGATGAACAGTTCAACTTGAAAAATCGAAAATAAATATAATGTATCTAAATACAAATTAGAGACATGTCATAATAGATCATTCCATCTTAAATAAATCAACAATGTTTTGCGACAATTTTAAACACCAACTTGAGATTTTTCGTAAGCAGTTGAAGAATTTTGACACATTCAACATTATGGATAAAAAATAGTGAATTTTATATAGTTTTTTTTTTTCCGAGACTTAGCATGAACAAACAAATTCCCGGATGTGGACGGAAAAAATGTCCTCAGAATGACGTCAAAATCCGAAAAATTTTTCATCCTTTAATACAGTCAATTGTGCTTACTTTAATTTGTAAGGTATATAAATGTAGTTAGAGAAACACTTTTCATGTCATAGCGAGGGTCACAAAGCACAGCCCGTGGCCACCAATCAGGCTTGGGCCGCCAGTCGAGGTTCAAGGGTAATACACACCAGCCCTTCCTTCACATGCGACTGAAGGTTCACAAAATAAATGTGGTTTCATGTCATATTCTATTCTCGCGGGGAAAGTGTATAAAGTTCAAGTGTTCAACCAGAATCCCAAATTCTTTCATCAAGGAATAAAAAGAGAAGAAAGAATCGTTCAATTGTAGGCATTTTGTCATGTTACATCCCGTCACCCATTAGGGTCATAAGAATATCACATGTACTTCAGCCAAGGGTATCTCTCGGGTAAGATAGCTTGACAGAAATTATCCTTTTCAGGCTGGTTTGAATATGGAGTTCTCCTCCTCTTTGAGAGCCCAGGTTGAACTGCTATTTAGCCCATAGATAGAAGATGGATGCATGCGTTTTCCAAAGGCATTAGGGGCGACGTAAACAAAACAGAATTGAGTAGAAATTGAACTTGGCATGCCTAATTCACTTGCAGTGCCGATAACTATCCGCGCTTTCAAGGTTTTTGTAATTGTTGATAATTATTATAGTACTCTCGACAGAGATTAATTTAACTTCTGTTATGTTTGAAATGTTTTTTGTACTATTTTGTGCCGTCTGGAATAGTCATGCCGGTGGGAATTATTAAAGTGTTTCGGATCAGGTAAACGTTCTGTCAGGAATTTTTATAAAAATTTATTGAAATGAAATAAAATAATCGTGTCTTAAAGAAAATTTTTTGAAAGATAATATTTTGCTGTACCAAATAAACTGCGCGCCGGGATTGGGGAAATTGAAAGAAATAATTTTGCAGGCATTTTTATTTGGTACACAAGAGCACTTTGTAACAATGAGACATTGCATTTCTAACAGCCTAACCTGTTCTTACTTATCGTCTCATTTCCTGAAATGACTGTAATGTTTTCGGGTCAAGAGTAAGATTATTCTTAACTTGTTCTTGCCACCTCCATGTTTCAACAACGACATTCTCAACTTTCATCTTGTCTGTGCGGCTAAATGATGAAATACACATCATCACTTTGCGACTAAATGATGACGCATACATGATCACTTTGCGACTAAATGATGCCGCATACGTGATCACTTTGCGACTAAATGATGACGCATACGTGATCAATTTGCGACTAAATGATGACGCATACGTCATCAATTTGCGACTAAACGATGATCAATATGCCATCGCTCTATGAATTTATCTACTAATCTCGTCTCCTTTCTTTTGAACCGGGAACAACCTCTGCCAGCTGTTTTGGTCAGTACTGATCTATATGGTAGATAAGACTTTCTGTATCTGTTTCCAAAGAATTTTTACTGTAGTCTCTCTTAGAAGTATTTCTAGCCTTACATGTTAAAGCAAAGCTCGGGAGGTGGAGGTGAGGGTCGGCGTCAATCAAACATTGTTATTTGGAAAGTCATTTTAAGCACGCTCAAAAGATGTAAACAGTCTGTTTTTTTCCATCTCCCTCCAAATTATCTACATAGAAAGAGATAAGAAAAAGAAGATAAATGAAAAATTTTGTACTCGTTTTCCGCCTTTTTACCAGAATATTTTAATGATTTTCTTCTTGCCTACCCCAAATCGGCTGGTGAGAAATTTTTGTACTACAAAAAATATATCAAACAGATAAGAATATAAATAAAATTTTAAAAACATTTATAAGGTTCCAAATTATTAAATCTGGCATATCGGTAATTAATTTTCTAAAACGCTTCGTAAATTTCATATTTGCTCACGATTACATTTACTAAATATTACATTTGCGTTGTAGCGTAACCGCAAGTCAACCGATCTCACAGATCATTATTTTGGAGTAGGGAGTTCGAGCCTCATTGGGGCTCACATACCTCTGTCCTAAACTAAATAACAATATATATCTGAAAATGCAGGGACCTGGATGACTGAATTTTTTTACGGCTTATCAACCTTTACACGTCAGAAAATATTTTTAAATTGTAAGAATTTCTTTTGGATATAATAATGATTTACTGATAAAAAAACCTACTAATTAACCCATAGCTAGGGGAGAAGTGGATCCATATCTTTCCCAAGATTATTTGCGCGTAAATGAATATAACGAACTCGACTGGAATTGGAACATGGCTCTTGGATTTCCAATTCTGAATCGTTACCCGTTACACCAACTGCACACCTAAGCTTACAGTACCTGGCATTCCCAAGCGACAACCCATCTAGATACTGACTAAGGTCGACGTTGCTTAACTTCGGTGATCCTATGAGAGCCAGTGTTTCAACATGATTTGGCCTTAAACCAAAATTGGCTGGAGGCATGAGAATAATTCCTATCAAAATATAGTGTCAAAATTTTGCCGCTCTTCAACTTCTTCATACCGAGCTAGACTTGGAATTTTTGCATCGGACAGAAGCTGCATCTGCGCTGATCTTATGTGGTGGTCAGTTTCTGCCAGTAAAATAACTGTTCAAATGTTCAAAGTGTCGGACCTCGGGACTACACGGGCGCAAACAAAGTGTCGTACCGCAGGACTACACGGGCGCAAAGTGTAGGACCGCGGAACTATTCGGGCACACTAAGTTTAGTACTATACAAACCTAAATACGATTAAGAGTATATTTTAACAATTCGGTAGGCCGAGCTAACTTGAAAAGTAGCTTTCAAAGTCCTTTTATTTGTACCTTATTACCGACTCGTGGCGCCATTGAGAAATTCGCAACACTTTCGATCTCGAAGCAAACCTTATTGGTTAGTTATTAGTTGCAATTTGTCTGGTAAAAATACAAGAAAAATACAATCTTCCACAATTCATTCCAGGCCAATCGGGAGGTTTCAAATTAATATTAGGCAGTACCTCTCCTTCGGGCGGAGGCTGTTTTCATCAACAGGTGTCCGAGGCGTCCCCAAAAGGGAATTGAGCAATTTTTGTACGACTGACTGAAATCTCAGTGTGTGCAATGTGAGTGCATGGTTAAATCAATACTTAGCTAGTCCAGCCGGTGTGAGGATTAAAATTGAATATAAAATGCTAAAGCTTGTGGGTGCTGTTCCCACGGGCAAAACCTCTCCTTCAAAAGGATCATTACCTAGGGTCATTACCAAAAGAGAGTGCCAAGAGAGCTTAAGCAAGATTCGTCCCTCGTCCATTTATGCGTAGGTTCCCACTTTAAACTAGTCCTTGTGTCAAATTCCATTCGAATGGTAGTGTGGTTGAATACCCACAATAGAAAGACACCCATTGAGCCCCGAATTCGCTTACTCACCATCGTGCTGCGGTAGACGCCTACACTAATTTTCTTAAAGAACCGTATACAGATGTGTTTTAAAATATTAATCTGTCTCTGCCATTACAGAAAAAATGCCCTGAACAAAACAGCGTTTTATTGATGATGGCCGATGCTTGATATGTAGCCGTTTTTTTTTTGTTTTTTTTTGTACATCAAGGTTGCAAAATTAAACAAATAAAAGTAAAAATAGTAATTTCCCCAGGTCTTCATACGTTGATGACACTCCCAAATTTTCCGCTTGAGACAGAAACTCATCTTTTTCAACAGACAACCTTATTATTTGGGACCCAACCAAGTAACCCTTCTAATCTGTATTTGTAGCTTCTGTCAGCCATACTTACTGTAACATTACTGTTCTTCGTTAGATTTTGGCCGTAGAAATTCAAAAAATAGACTCTGATAAAATCTGAATAAACATCATGCTTTTGACTAAAAACAAATATGATGCAAGTTTTACATTTTATTTTATGAAAAGTTATAAGCAAAACAAGCAAAGCAGAATGTTGTCAAATTCAGTGCATTGTAGGATCGAATACTTGGCAAATGCGAAGCCCAAGGATGAAATTCTACTCGAGGAAGGTTTTGTCTCAACACTTAATTAAATATTTGTAAACTTTCGAATATTGTCTCGGTTTATATCATCATTTCTGATCCACTGTTCCGACTGCAGTTTTTATCTCTGTTAATTATACAATAAACAGCATAATTGGGATATTACGAGATAGAGAAAGGAGAAAAAAAACGCGGTTATCTAACCTACATGTTAAAAGTACATGAAAAGTACAAGGAATAATCATAGGTATTGGTTACCGTAAAACATAACGAGAATAAAATACCACCTGATTAACTGATATAATGTCTGTGCTATGTAAGATTAGAAATAAATGGATTATTCTTTTATTAAATATTTTCCAGGTTATTTTCCATTGTCTTTGTAAATTAGTATTTTGTAAGATTCCATGGTCTTTGCAATTTTTAGCATTTTTTTTTTTTTTAAGATTTGGTAGGTTCGCAAGGCCGATGCCTGCAGCGGTTGTTAGACATTCTCCAGCAGTCGTTGTTGAAGGGAATACCTGTCGAGCATAGATCTCACTGAGAGCCTTCTTCGACAGATTTGAAAAATCGCCTACCTAACCCGATATTCGTTCGCGAAGCTATGGTAGATTTTACAAGAGAGGGAGAAGCTTGCTAATCTCCTTGAAAGAGCTATTTTCTTTTTCTTTTTTTTTTTTTAAATACATCTTCTTCTTTAAGTGCCGTGTCCCCCCAGGACGTAGGCGATCATTGCTCGCCACAACTTCCTGTCCTTTGTAGCTCTTAAATGTATTTCTGTTATTTCACCTAAACTCTGTTCCTCCATACATCTACTCGAGCTCACTAAGTATGTCATACGCTGTTTGCCTCTGTTCCTCTTGCCTTCAATCTGTCTTGTGAGTATCAGATTTTTCAAGCCCTCTTTCCTCATCATGTGCCCTAGAAACTTCAACTGTCTCTTCATGTTTAGTATTAGTGTGCTTTTTGTTTCTATTTTCTGTAAAACTTCGTCGTTGCTCACATGTTCGGTTCATGGTATTCTCAGCATTCTTCTGTAGAACCATTTTTCTCTTGCTTCAAGTCTCTCCTTCATCTTCGAGATTGTCCAGCATTCACTACCATACAGGGGGTTGGTTTCTGAGTCAGGTTGTGAAACAGGGTCAGTTTTTAACGTGGGTACCCGAGTGTCTTAGCTGGTTATAGCTTGTCCAAACTGGTCAGAGCTGGTCTAAGCTAGTCATAGCTGTGATACTACAAGCGCAGGCACGGATCAAGTATCACAATGTGTATATCTCTCAAGAGGTGGGTTTGCACACTCCACTGACATATAGGGGACAGATATCACGTAACGGTTTAGTATTTTTTCCTTGCTTCTAGCGAAATTTCTCAGAGTAAAGATTTATTTTTTGTTTCCTGTTTAGGCTTGAATTTCCGGTTTCTTCTAAAGTCTTTTCCTCAGTAGAACCTTGATTTTTAGTGGCGTTATTGTCTTACTTGGGGTGAATTGATTAAAAAAAAAACCCTGATCTATTAAACAAAGCTACAAGCAACTGATATTTAGCGATTACATAATATAAATACCTTCTGATAAAGCGAATAAAAATGTATGCTTCCGCCAAGTCGATCGGGCTTAATGTAGCAGATATGACAGTAATTTCTTCTTAATCAATTTGTATAATTTTGCCTTATATATGACAGTGAATACTGGACAATCTCATCATAGATGACGAAGAGACTTGAAGCAATAGAAACATGCTTCTACAGAAAGACGTTGAGAATACCATGGTCGAAACATGTGAGCAACGACAAAGTTTTAGAGAAAACGGAAGCAAAAAAGGACACTTCCAGGCAATCTGAAGTTATGTAAATTAGATAAACCTCACTAACTCGAATTTGATTTGAACAATTTTTATCAACTTTTAATCGATTAATTTAGACGTCGAAATAAAACCTGGGTTAAAATTTTAGGTAGTTTCTGCATGTTTTTTTTTTTTTTTTTTGATTTATTATAAAAAAAAAAACAAAAAAAAACTGAAGTTTCTGAAGTCATGTAAAACCAAAAAAAACAATTTTTAACTCAATTACGAGACATTAGCATCATCAACAATTGATCAACGTCTCTCACAGGGAACAGTCACATAGATTGTTCATTGCTGTCGAACTCTGTCCCGGCAGAGAGGAACTCGGACGAGGCTTTGCCGCAGGGCAAAGTTTCGTCCGGGGAGGTAGACAGGCCTTAACCCGTTTATACGAATTCTAAGGGAATATTTTTCGCCGAGCCTACGGTAACCCCTCGTCGAGTGGGAGTAGGCTGTTAAATATTAACAAGGCAAATAACAAAACATATATAAGTCGTTGAATCCTTCACATCTTAATATAGTAATCCTTCTTCTCAATAACAGCCAGCAATCTATTATCAATTGATTTTGCTATTTTTTTTACTTTAACAGGTTCAATTTAGTGGTTTAAATTGCTTCCTATAGTTCTGCTTTGCTGTTATATTGGTTGCCATCTTCATATAATTATTTTTATCTTCACAATTCACCATAGATTTTCGATCGGATTCAGATCGCAGCTTAATGGGGGTGATTCCATTATCTTCTTTCCCGTAAACTTTTTACGCTGAAAAAGTTCACGGATATCCTTACATGCATAAGAAGGACCACTGTACATAAATGCATAATTGACTTTGAAACTGGAAGGCTGGGTCTTGTGCCATTCAAAGCAAGTCTTGTCCATGAAATCGTAATAGTTGGCATTGTTCAGTTTAACTCCAAATACAAATCGTCCAATAATGGTTTTGTTGACAATTCCAGTCCATATCTTACACTGCCGCGTCCATGCTGACTTTTTTTTTTAGCCACAGGCACATTTGCATCGGATAAAATCAATCAGGTCTATCGTAAAAGGGTTCAGTTCGACATTCCAACCATCTGAAGAACCCACACTCTTTGGGTCCTGTCACTGGATCTAACTAACGCCTTTATCCACTGTGCCATGTGTCCTTGAGGACATCTGTGAATGAATTTCTGGGTATTATAAACCTAATGTCTTCAGAAACCATTTTTACCAGTTCTCATATTGCAATTTTTGCTGTTATCATGCATGTTTTTACCAGAGCTCATATTGCAATTTTTGCTGTTATTATTGCTTTTCTCTGGCACTCCTTATTACTGCTTCTTATATTGTATTCATTTCTATGCTTGATCGGCTCAGTAGATTTTTGTGGCTTAGCATATGTGCTGATTCCTTAAGTTTACGAATTTTCCAATGGTGTTCTTTGTCTATGATCTCAACCTGAACCCACAAAGGGTGGTGATCTTACTTCTCTCTCCATATGTGGTCAGACACGCCTGATTTTTCCACTTCCCCTCGTGTTACAGCTTTCTGGCGTTCTTGAAGCCTTACCTTAAGGGAGAAGCCTGCCTCCCTTTTATATTTCTTTCTGCACCTGCACGGGATGGTGTACACA